TATATATATATTGCCAAATATAAAACATTATATAGAATTTGATCTATATTGTTTGCACTGACATTTTGATCAGAACTGAGATAATTTATTGCAAGGTAAACAACTAATTTCCTTTACATTATTTTCAGTGTCAATGAACCTTATGAAAGTAGTTTTCCCGTGTCTATGAAAACACTGGCAGAACAGCAAATAAAATAAAACTGCAGATTTAGTTTTGATCAAATTCATTCAAATGTTTTATATTTGGCAATCATTTTAAGACTTTGTGCTTATTTTATGTCTTTTTTTGTTACAAATAAACTAAATGTTGTGTTTAGTAAATAACTCTACAAATCATTTGCTACTTTTGCGTTGGTTTTCCATTTTTATATATATATTTTCTTTTGACCCTGTTAAGGAATCTGTCCAGCAACAGGATCAAGAAGCTGCCAAAGAACACATTTAGGAGCCTTTCCAAAACCCTTGTGAAATTGTAAGTAACTGACATCTATTTTTTCCAAGAAAAAGAGAAAACAAACTCTTCAAAAAGGTGGTTCCCCATTGGGCTGTGTCTAGTTATCAAATGAGGGAGTGTAAAGAATATCTTGAGACTTTAGTGGGGTTTTCTACTTGCACAGCTTCTAGTCGCTTGAGTTTTAAACATGTTCCAAACCGTGTGTGACGTTTCTCTTGAGCTAGTCACGGAGTCGCTTCTGACGTTGTCTCTGTTTCAAAAGTGGCTTCACTGGAGGAATGCAACATTTGTAGCTCATGTCTGAGAATTGTCTGTGCAACATGTGCATGAGTTTCCAATATGGAACTTTATCAAAATATTCTAATTTTCTGAAACACTGAGGTTTGGGTTTTCATTATCTGTAAACCATAATTACAAGAAATAATGGCTTGTAATATTTCACTCTATGTGGAATGAATTTATGTAATATATGAGTTTCACTTTTTGAAGTGAGTGACAAAATATATTGAACCTTTTCATGATTTTCTTACTTATTTTTTGTGAGATGTACCTGTAAAAACCATGCATACTGTCTAATGTTCCCACTGTAAATTGTGGATCGTAATAAAAACTTGACACCTCAAATACTTTTTTTTAAAAAGATTTGTTGAGGCAAATGTGGTCCGCATGTTTAGAACTCAAGCTGGCAGCACACATTGTAATAAGCACATTAATTAATTAAAACAGTAATTTATTGGTGAAAACAAGCCGATGTGTGTTTGCAAAGTCATCCAGCTGAGTCAAAAGCATAAAAAGTGCAATAGATTTTGAAAACCATTAAACAAGAAACAAGTATCTCGTTTGAAATGATGAACGACTTTATATAAAATTAAAGAACATCTGATTCTCCTAAAAGTTTACACCCATATTTTTTAATAAAAGCTGCTGTACATATCACAGCTTCATGCATCATGTTAAAGAGATCCACATGGTGTGTTTGGTAGTAGTTGGTGTAAATAATGTGTTATTAATTTTTTTTTTAAATGCATGAAGATGGATGGAGACACATTTCTACAAGAAAACAGCCTGTTCTGAGGAAGCTGACCAGGAAGGTTTCATGATTCATGTCTTATTCGACATCAGTTTTCCTTGAAGTTGTCTGGCAGACTGTTTTATGTTTTGTGGTTTCTGCAGCTGTGTGAAAAGTATCGAATGGATGGGATTTATGGTTTCTGTTCTGGATCTCACCCAGTTGTGCTGACGTTGGTTCACTACATGTTCAGTCAATTAGAATATTTCTTATTTTGTGGACAAACATTATGCAAATAAATAAAAAAAATTTGCACCTCTTAAAAAACAAAGAAAACTCACTTGTTAATTTTTGCCTATATGATCATAATTGAACCTGCTGTGTGTTTTGTTTTGTTTGTTGGGGATTTGTTGCTGAAAGTGGGAAGAACAAATGAAGTGTTGCAAATCAAACGATGATAATCTAAAACACACAAGCACACAAATACAGATAAATGTTGATGAGGCGACACTCAAGAGCGCTCCTGTCTTTCTGGTTTTGGTTGGAGAAAAATTGTTCTTCAGGAAGTAGACAGCTGTTTATTCTCAGACCAGAGCCAGTCTGCTTCCTTCATTTATCTGAAAACTGTGTCATATTTAATCAAGAAAAGTTTTAATAAATCTGTCATTATGTCTATCCTTCCTAAGAAATATATCGTACAATCCTCTTCAAATTCATCCGAGCCACGTCAGCCACCTGACACGTCTTCAGTCTCTGTAAGTACACACAAGCTTTACACAGTGCCCTCTTTAGCCCCTAAACTCAGAATTATTTACAATCAGAGCTCTAAACTTAAAGGAATAGTCTAGAGATTTTTGAAGTGATGTTCTGCCAAATATGCATCGGTAGTATGAACACGAGTGACCCCCGCGACACGAAAAGGAAGAAGCGGTAAAGATGATGGATGAATGGGTGGATAGTTAGTACCGTATGAGCCAAGACATCAGGCATAGAGTAAGAAGAAAAGTGCAGAAATTGTCCCCATCTAGCATAACCAGAGCCTGTGTTGTTTACTTTCAGGCTTATAAAACAACTAATATAAAAATGTTATACCAGTGTCAAAGATTTGCCGGATTAGCTAATAATAAGTAGGAATGCACAATATGATCAGCATGGTATTGGTATCGGACAATATTAGCGATAAAGTTAAATATCAAATATTCCATCAAAATAACTCACCGATATAAAAGGCGGTGTTTATCTAGATATATATATATATATACATGGCACTGTTTTTGTAGGACAACTCAGTGACAAGGATGCCTGCAGCACCAGCATGTTATGACATCACACGCACTGTTCAGTTTAAATATGTGAAAATTTACAAATTTGCTCTGTTTGAGTGTTGTCATTGTGTTAGAGTAAATGTCATGAATAAATTTGACATTAAACAAAATCATAGTTGAAGTGTTACATTATTTTCAGCCCCCTTTTTGGCATCTGCATTTGGTAGTTGGCCAAACTGACAAAGACCATGCAGAATAATGTAGTATTTTAATTCCACAGCAGAGAATTGTAGTCTCTGTAAGTAGGTCTAGGGGGGGATATCGGTATTGTTATCGGTATTGGTTATCGGCCAAATAAGTTTTAACATATCGGCATATCGGACATCGGCCAAAAATTCAATATCGTTCATCCCTGTATAACCCTTTTCACTTTTGCGTGATGCATTCAACAACCTCTGGATGATGACATTTAGTAAGATGGATGTTGTTGGATTGAGAAAACAGCAGCAAACTAAACAAACAGCAGAATACAAAAGTGTAGAAGTTTAATTTTAGCCAACGTAGCATTATTTCACACATGTATGACATTTTTTAGATTGTTTTTAATCAGAAAAACACTACAAGCTGGCCTCAGTTCAGCTAACCATTAGCCTAACCTGGACAAAACTTTTTGCTTCTGTCGCCACACTCCGTGCTCTGTACCTGATATCAAGGCTAATAAAGTGCTACCTATCAACAGAACATCACTTCAAATCCACCAGACTATCCTTTTGAACTTAAGTCCTACACCTAATGCTCCAATCGCCCTTTAAAACAATTTTTAAAAAAATAAACAGTTAAACTTTGGGTCCAATTCTTTTTTAAAAATAAATAAATTAACCATGTTGTGGATGACTGATAATCTACACCAGCATGTAGCCCTTTGGAAAAGAAAAGTCCAGCTTGAAAATAATTTAAAAAACTATCCTCAGTATGGTGGTTAAGAGTGTATGTCCTGTAGTTTGATGTTTACTTCTTTTCATTAGGTCTGTGGAAGGTATTGAAATCCCAGATATTCAGACAAAGATGTTTCATCAGATGAAGAACCTCTCCCACATGTATGTATAATTTAGATATATTTTTTCCAGCCTGTTTTTGCTTTTATTTATCTAATTAACTCTGTTATTTCCTCTGTCACCACCTTTTTATTTTCACGTCAGCTACTTTAAGAAGTTCCAGTACTGCTCCTACGCACCTCATGTCAGGTCCTGCAAGCCCAACACAGATGGCATCTCATCCTTCGAGGACCTTCTGGCGAACATGGTGCTGCGGGTGTCTGTGTGGGTCATGGCCTTCTTCACTTGCTTTGGAAACCTTTTAGTCATCGGCATGAGATCACTGATTCGTGCGGAGAACAACCTGCATGCTGCCTGTATCAAAGTCCTTTGCTGTGAGTATCCACACACTCTCACATTTTTTAACACATAAAATAAACTGCTTGTAAAAGTAAAAGCACCAGAATGCATTTCAGTTTGTACGTAAGAATTGGGATTAATCTTGAACCCCCTAATCTGAACATCTACAACGTCTTTTTGTAAATTAAAGGCATGGAGTACCTGAAGGAATGCCTGTCGCTCACTGCTTTTCAAGGCCTAATTTTAAAATAAATTGTCTTATGCTAACAAAAGATGGAGTTGGAGTTGTCCCATACATCCATCCATCCATCCATTTTCTTCCGCTTATCCGGGGTCGGGTCGCGGGGGTAGCAGCCTAAGTAGGGAGGCCCAGACTTCCCTCTCCCCAGCCACTTGGGCCAGCTCTTCCGGGGGAATCCCAAGGCGTTCCCAGGCCAGCTGAGAAACGTAGTCCCTCCAGCGTGTCCTGGGTCTTCCCCTGGGCCTCCTTCCGGTGGGACGTGTCCGGAACACCTCACCAGGGAGGCGTCCAGAAGGCATCCTAAACAGATGCCCAAGCCACCTCAACTGGCTCCTCTCGATGTGGAGAAGCAGCGGCTCTACTCCGAGTCCCTCCCGGATGATCGAGCTTCTCACCCTGTCTCTAAGGGAGAGCCCAGACACCCTGCGGAGAAAACTCATTTCGGCCGCTTGTATCCGAGATCTCATTCTTTCGGTCACAACCCAAAGCTCGTGACCATAGATGAGGGTGGGAACGTAGATTGATCGGTAAATTGAGAGCTTCGCCTTTTGACTCAGCTCTCTCTTCACCACGACAGACCTGTACAGCGCCCGCTTCACTGCAGACGCTGCACCTATCCGCCTATCGATCTCACGCTCCATTTTTCCCTCATTCGTGAACAAGACCCCAAGATACTTGAACTCCTCCACTTGGGGTAGGACCTCCTCCCTGACCCAGAGAGGGCACTCTACCCTTTTCCGGCTCAAGACCATGGCCTCGGATTTGGAGGAACTGATCTTCATCCCGGCCGCATCGCATTCGGCTGCGAACCGCTCCAGCGAAAGCTGTAGATCACGATCTGATGAAGCCAATAAGACCACATCATCTGCAAAAAGCAGAGACGCAATTCTGAGGCCACCAAAACGGATCCCCTCAACACCTTGGCTGCGCCTAGAAATTCTGTCCATAAAAGTTATGAACAGAATCGGTGACAAAGGGCAACCTTGGCGGAGTCCAACTCTCACCGGGAACAAGCCCGACTTACTGCCGGCGATGCGGACCAGGCTCTGACACCGGTCATACAGGGACCTAACAGCCCGTATCAAAGGGCCTGGTACCCCATACTCCCAGAGTACCCCCCACAGGGCCCCCCGAGGGACGCGGTCGAAAGCCTTCTCCAAGTCCACAAAGCACATGTAGACTGGTTGGGCAAACTCCCACGCACCCTCCAGGACCCTGCTGAGAGTGTAGAGCTGGTCCAGTGTTCCACGGCCAGGACGAAAACCGCACTGTTCCTCCTGAATCCGAGGTTCGACTATCCGACGGCCCTCCTCTCCAGAACCCCCGAATAGACCTTACCAGGGAGGCTTAAGAGCGTGATTCCCCTGTAGTTGGAACACACTCTACGGTCCCCCTTTTTGAATAGGGGGACCACCACCCCGGTCTGCCAATCCAGGGGAACTTCCCCCGATGTCCACGCAACATTGCAGAGTCGCGTAAGCCAACACAACCCTACAACATCCAGAGCCTTAAGGAACTCTGGGCGGATCTCATCCACCCCTGGGGCCCTGCCACCGAGGAGCTTTTTAACCACCTCGGTGACCTCAGCACCAGAGATTGGAGGGCCCGACCCAGAGTCCCCAGGCTCCGCTTCCTCAGTGGAAGACGTGCCGGTGGGATTGAGGAGGTCTTCAAAGTATTCTGCCCACCGACCCACAACATCCCGAGTTGAGGTCAGCAGCAAACCACTCCCACTATAAACAGTGTTGGTGGCATACCGCTTCCCCCCCCTGAGACGCCGGATGGTGGACCAGAAACGTCTCGAAGCCGTGCGGAAGTCGTTCTCCATGGCCTCTCCGAACTCCTCCCATGCCCGAGTTTTTGCCTCAGCAACCACCCGAGCCGCATGTCGCTTGGACTGCCGGTACCCATCAGCTGCTTCCGGGGTCCCACAGGCCAAAAAGGCCCGATAGGACTCCTTCTTCAGCCTGACAGCATCCCTCACCGACGGTGTCCACCATCGGGTTCGAGGGTTGCCGCCCCGACAGGCACCGACAACCTTGCGGCCGCAGCTCTGGTAAGCCGCCTCGACAATAGAGGCACGAAACATGGTCCACTCGGACTCAATGTCCCCCACCTCCCTTGGAACATGTTCAAAGTTCTCCCGGAGGTGGGAGTTGAAACTCCGTCTCACAGGAGACTCTGCCAGACGTTCCCAGCAAACCCTCACAATACGTTTGGGCCTACCAGGTCTGACCGGCATCCTCCCCCACCATCGGAGCCAACTCACCACCAGGTAGTGATCAGTTGACAGCTCCGCCCCTCTCTTCACCCGAGTGTCCAAGACATGTGGCCGCAGATCAGATGAGACGATGACAAAGTCGATCATCGAACTGCGGCCTAGGGTGTCCTGGTGCCAAGAGCACATATGGACACCCTTATGCTTGAACAAGGTGTTCGTTATTGACAATCCATGACGAGCACAGAAGTCCAACAACAGAACACCACTCTGGTTCAGATCAGGGGGGCCGTTCCTCCCAACCACACCCCTCCAGGTCTCACTGTCATTGCCCACATGAGCATTGAAGTCCCCCAGCAGAACAAGGGAGTCCCCAGAAGGTGCACTTTCCAGTACCCCCTCTAAGGACTCCAGAAAGGGTGGATAATCTGAACTGCCGTTTGGTGCATAAGCACAAACGACAGTCAGAACCCGTCCCCCCACACGTAGGCGGAGAGAGGCCACCCTCTCATTCACGGGGGTGAACCCCAATACACAGGCACCAAGTTGGGGGGCAATTAGTACGCCCACGCCTGCTCGGCGCCTCTCACCAGGGGCAACTCCAGAGTGGAAGAGTGTCCAGCCCCTCTCAAGGAAACTGGTTCCAGAGCCCGAGCCATGCGTAGAGGTGAGTCCGACTATTTCTAGCCGGAACCTCTCAGCCTCACACACCAGCTCAGGCTCCTTCCCCACCAGTGAGGTGACATTCCACGTCCCAATAGCCAGCTTCTGTAGCCGAGGATCAGACCGCCAGGGTCCCCGCCCTCGGCCACCACCCATCCCACATTGCACCCGACCCCTTTGGCCCCTCCCACAGGTGGTGAGCCCATGGGAAGGGGGACCCACGTCTCCTCTTCGGGCTGTGCCCGGCCGAGCTCCATGGGTAAAAGCCCGGCCACCAGGCGCTCGCCCACGTGCCCCACCTCCAGGCCTGGCTCCAGAGTGGGGCCCCGGTGACCCACGTCTGGGCAAGGGAACACTAGGTCCATTTGTGTTTTCCATCATAGGGGTGTGTTTGGGCTGCACTTTGTCTGGTCCCTCACCTAGGACCTGTCTGCCATGGGTGACCCTACTAGGGGCATAAAGCCCCTGACAGCATAGCTCCTAGGATCATTGGGACACTCAAACCCCTCCACCACGGTAAGGTGGCAGCCCAGGGAGTATTACAAAATATGATGGTGCTCAGGGAGTGTGCTGAGGATGACTCTCAGCTACTTTAGATATTTGCAGCCATTTTTGTGTTTGTTGAGATCACTTAATAGCTACCATCTTGAGTGGTGTTGACTCCTAAAGTTAATCTGCTGTAGATGTACATTAAGTGATTCACTTCTGAGAGTTTCATTAAAAGTTGTTAAAAGTTCCTAAAAGTTCTTTCATTAAAAGTTTTTCATTAAATGTTCTGTAACCTCTGTGTGCTGCTGCCCCTCTTGGCCAGGATTCTCTTGCAAAAGAGATTTATAATATCAATGGGATTTTCCTGGTGAAATAAAGGTTCAATAAAAATTTTTTAAAAGCTGTCCACTGGTACACATACACAAACATGGGTAAGAGCGTTACTGTCTTTCGCCTAAGGCAGCAAGCAATAAAATCAAGAGAAAAAGAAATAGCAGGAAAGCGAAAGCCATTTTCGAGTCATAAAATGTAACTCAAGTCTTCAAAGACAGGGAATAAGTAATGCATCAGGCTTGCTTTTGTCTATAATTAAAAACATAGATGCTTGTTACGAGATGAGGCACCAGGTAGAGCATCACAGTAACGTTTAGCATTTTGTAAGAACTTGCTCAGTGTAAATTGTCAGTCTGCAGTAATCAAGCATGAAAAAGAAGTAATGGAATAATGCCTAAGGACATTCAGTCCTACTTCTCTAAGCTGCAGTCCCACAGGTGCAGATGGAAAATAATGTGTGAGGCAGGGAGCAGAGAGGGAGCTGCATGTAGTTTGCAGTAAATAAAAGTCACCCCCTCTGGTTTAAGTATGATACCGTATAAATAATGTTCTGAATGGCTGTGCTGAATTATGCATTTGCAAGAAACAACTGGGATGACAGATTTAATGGTAGGAGTTTTGTGCAGAATCTTTAACAGCATTAGGATTGTCCTTTTTTTTTTTAACTTATTTGAGCAGAGAGCATATGTGTCTTTATGCTCTATATTTATTTCCTGCTGCTAAAAAAGCTGGGCAGTGGTGTAATTGTTTCTGTGTTGTTTGTCAGCCATATTAGCAAAATAGTTCATGAAGAAAATGAACAGATATTAATGAAACTCTCAGGAAGTAATCGCTTGATGCACATCTACTAGTGATTGATCTTTGAAGTCAGCCCAATTCAAGATGGCCACCAAAACTAATTTACTTTTGAAAACACAATAAATGGCTATAAGTCAGTCATTTTTACAAATATTCAGCTAATATCATATCAGAAAATGCATTTATAATGGATATCTACTGTATATGGTAGATTTTCCCCCCAAGAAACACTGAAGTGCAGTAATTTTACTGGAAAGTTGTGGGAGCTTTTGACAAAGTAAAACAAACTTTAA